TGGATAAACTGAGCGGAAAGATGTATTTTTTCTCAGTGATTATAGCAAGGTTAGGATTAGGTGTTGGGATGCATTGATTTATGTCTTCTTTCTACCTTTGGCTCGTCATGTGTCATTAGGCAAACTGCTTGACCAGTTCCAGTAATGCCATCTGCAAAATGAAATAAGGTTAATATAGGTCATACACTGTAAAGCCCTTGAGTATAATAGATGGTACACAGTTTTAAAGAAGAAAAATGAGATCTCAGTAAAGAAACATGAAATTTAACAAGCAGATAACAATACAGGGATTCCTTAAGCTTCCTCGTGGTCCCACTAGTCCCTCTTGGGAGGATATTCTGCTGCTTCCTCTTTGGAGAGGAAGAGGAATGGCTGTTCCAGCAGCACGTAACTGCTCCTGCACCCTGGCATCTCCCAATACTGCTTCTGCCTGGCAGTACGGGAGGGGACTGGGAGCATGTTTTCTCCTGCACTTTAGTGTGGTTTGAAGCCTAAAGCCAAGAGCCACCATTGACAGGGATTCCAGCTGTGGCCTTTGAGCCTGGAGCACATGTCAATTATTTATCTTCTCTCACTACTAAATAGGGATTGGATTGGAAAGAATGCTCTAAAAATAGCAAGAGCCCATACTGTATAGCCAAGCAACAGAAGGTGGTATGGATCTTTCTGTTGAACCTTCTAAAGAAACACATTTTAAATGAACACACAAGAAACTAATACTAATTAAGTAATAGCATTCTATGGAGACCTATGGTAGACACTATAATAGTGCATTAGCGAGCTATGCATAATTCAGCAGTGCTGAATTCTTTCAAACATCACCTACAGGGAATTTTGCATGAGTATGGACTTAATAATTTGTCCCTTCGTATGCATGTGTAAGTGTTCCTAAGGGCGTTATTTGGCCTGCAGAACGCCTATTACTGGAGGTGGCGTACAAGAGAGGAAGCGTCCATTCTGAGTCTTGAAAACCAAGCTGGGATGATAGGATGCGTCATTAGAAATGTTGTGTTATTTGTAAACAGACATTAAACATGGAGTCCTATGATGTGATTTTGTTTCTCTCCCGTCCGTGCAGGCACTTTTCCAAAAAGAATTGCAAAAAATAGGCAGTTCACAAAAGACCAAGTTATAAGCTAGCATTTTTCAAAATGGTAGCTTAGACACAGGTGTGTGAAAACATGCATAGGCACCTAAGTAAGTGGTCTGGCAGTGTACCCATGATGTGATGGAGTTAAAGTTACTTGGTGAGCTACTGCTGAAGTGAGTTGTCACAGCTTCATATCCTCTTCTCCTCCTCAACAGCAAAGTTAACCTGGCAGGAAATGTATTTTATCTTGCCACTGGAGTAGGATAAGGACATGTAAGTGGACAATTACTATGACTCAACTGACAAGAATTAGCTACTACATTAGCCTTTTATTTCTTGCCCTGCCTCTTATTTTCAGAGGGTTGATAACCTGGTCGCCCCTAGTCAGGCTAATTTTGTGTGAATCTTAAGACCCTTATTTTAGGTACTCATAAAATAGAAAGATGATTTGCTAATGGGACTTTATGCACATTTGATAATGTACTATTTTATCATTGCTACCTTGTCAGCACAAAAAGCAGGGCTTTTGCAGGTCCCCTCAGCAGCATGCCTCTTTTTGCCACCAGTCCTAGAAGTCTTGGAAAGGTATGTGTTCACCCTATGTTGCCGCATATTGTTATATCTGAGTTGCAGCAACCAAGATATATTTGTGCTCATTGCAAGTACTTACAAAGTAGCATGGCATAATTGTCCCTCTGCAAGCATCTCTCTCTAAACTATTGTTTAAAATTGCCAGACGCGTCTTTGTTCTTTATTAAGAGTAAGGCAACAACACGGAGTCTGTAGTTATCAGGAGATAATCATTCCCCAAGGGCATTTGAAGCACTTCACAACCAAAAGGTTGTGATTACTCCACAATTGCTGTACTGCTTATTATTCCTTATTGCTTAATTATGGAACCAGAGTGTGTTTCCTGGACGCTGTCATCTAAATAAGATTCTCCATTTCTCATGCTCTGCTTCAATGTTAGGTGGACTGGGAAGCTTTGTAGCGTTTCAAGATGACGTAGGGGATAGCAGTAGGGCGGGCCAGTCATGGTAGCTCTTCTGGCCTTCGGGAGATCAGGGCGTTCAATCCCTGCCCTGCCAAATGCTTACTGAGGGGCCTTGGGCAAGTCACTCAGCTTCTGTATACCTCAGCTCTACACCTCTGCTCAGGTGCTACCATAAATAAGGCTATGTGAGTATCTAGAATAGAAATAACATAATGGACTTCATCTTGACCTCTAGGTATGGACTCGGGCGACATGCTATGAAGACACTGATTTTCTTTTTAGTGTGTGCACATTCAGCTGGCTTATTTTGAGTGGTGGAGTGCAGTGGCTGAGGGTCACGTATGTATGGGGAGTGAGAGCACAAGGAAAGAGGGGATTTAATATCTTAAAATACTCTACCTGATTTCACAAGACGTGTGACTGCAGCCCAAATGGTCTAGCTGCCAACGGCGCTGAGAGCTCGGTTGCTCTCAACCGGAGAGAGCCTCTCAAACAGAGGCTGCAGCACTGTTCGCTTTTCTTAAGGTTTATTCAGATTTCCATCTCTGGTTAAAGTAAGCTGATGCAGTTTGTGCTTGCCAGGCTGTGGTGCTGTCATGTATCACACGCAGGTGGGTTACTAGGTTGGCAGCAAGCCCACCTGAAACAGGCGTGTAATGCTGCTGTGTTTCAGAAAGGCTTTGATGTTTCCCCCCTTTACTGATTCAATGAGTCTTACATGACTCTCTGCCGTGAAAGGCAGTGTACTGTTGTGGTTACACATTGGAGAAGAGTAGAAAGTGTGGCCTTTTCCAGGCTCACTGGGCCTAGAAATCTACCCCGAAGAACTCATTTTTTTAAGTCTTTGATTTAAAGTTTCCTTGAATCATGTAACCTACTCTAAGGAAGGGGAAAGCCATCCAGCATGTATTTTAACATTAGCCTTGATTTTTTGAGTGTATACATCCATAGGAAGATGAGAAGATGGGTGATAAAACTGAGTTTCTAAATCATCACCTAAATTTCCAGATGTTTTTGAACTTCATTCCTTAGACTTGTTTTTGAAAACTTGAATAAGTAGTAGACTTGGTGAAACTCCCTTATTATTACAAGGTTGGCATAAAGTCTACTCAGTGAGGTGCTTTTTACAGCAGTGGTTGTTTTTTAAATCCCCCTTTTCATTCCTGGAATCTAAAAGTTAATAGCACCTTCCATTGTGGCGCGCTCTGCTAGCATGCATCTTCTGTCTGCATGCAATTCTGCTAGCAAGCTCTTGTGTCATAAATAGAATTTGTTCAGGAAATAAAAATGTATTGTTTTCATTGTTAGAGGATGCTACTAAATTGGCTGTATGTTTGTCTAATAATCACATCTAAAGCTGATTATTTTGGTAATAGCCTTAAGATATTATTTAAAAATAAATATATAAATGCACTACTTTTGTACTAATACTAGTTTTTAATCTCTTCTTGTTTCTATGAAGTCTGAATGAGATTTTCAAAATTGAATAATAATTTGATCCGTTAATCTTTTGAAGCTAGTAATTTTATTTTCCCCTCTTTGCAGTCTCTGAGGCTCGCAAATGAATAGAGCTTCATTACTGGAGTCTGCATTTAATAACCATTATCCATTATCTTGTAATTAAGACTCCCTGTAACGAATCATGAGGACAATGCAAAAATACATAGTACATTTCTTTAATGAACTGGAAAATGTTCATCTTGTTCTATTTAGTAATGAGTTGCTGAATAGTCGTTAAATCCACTGGAGAATAGAGCTAGATGGATTTTGAAGACTATCTTGAGTTTGTGGTTAATCTATTAGAATTAAAATTTCATCTTCTATTTTTATCAACAGCTGATTAGAAGTCATTCTGTTTGACCAAATTGATTAGAAGACCATATACAAGGGCAGCTGTTGTTTAATGAAAGTTTTTAATGAAACTGTACCATAGAGACTTGTAATTATAAGACTTATAAAAGCTTTGACTTACCTTATACTAGAAAAAATGAGAAGTATTGCACTGAAGGACTTTAAGTGTTACATTTCGAAAGGGAAATTAAAAATATAATTTGGCGATGTTGAAGTTTCACTTCCACTGTTACTCGTTTTAATGTGACTATCAGATGTCCATAGTGTCTCTCTGGAAGGGAGTAGCTCTGAAATATGTAACTCAGTTGTCTCTCCTATGTGCTCCGTTCTTTGCAAAGCTCAATCAACTATTAATTGCTTCTTTTGCGCATTGCACTTTCTCTGGAGTTAGAACTTCTTTCGCAAATAACTGTTTCTCTTTAGAATGAGAATTGTCATAGGAGGGTGCAATTTAATCACCAATGGGCTGAGTTAGTGCCTAGACAGGAAGCCTACAGAGAAAACTGTGGTCTTACAAGACACAATGTTAGTGATACCGTTTGATTATGTTTAAATCACAGGACACAGAAACATGCCTGGCTTTGTCTTAACTTCCCATCAGGCTGAGACCTAGATGTATGCCAATCAGCTGTGTCATCAGGAAAACGGGTCCCTGGAGTGTGCTGCAGCACACGTCAAAATGTAGTCTAGGCAACTCTTCAGTTTGAGCCAGTAGTGAAATTTTCCTTGCTTACTCTAGGGGATGTTGTAGAGGCATCATCGTTCAAATAAGAGACAAAATGGACCCTAAGCCAAATTTGAAGTGGAAGCAGATGCAGTTCCAATTGACTCAAGTGGATGATGCACTACTACGCGATGTTTGAATTATCCCTCTTCTTCTCCCGATTATCTTTGATAATTAATGATCCCACAGTACACCTTTTCTAAGAAGTAGGTTCCCAGGGATGAAGTGTGCCCTAATGCAATTAAAGAAGTTTTGTCATTGTATTGTGTCAATGCAGGATTATACACTGCAAGGCAAATTTTTTGATTAGTTTCTTAGCTTTTTGTTGTATTGTGCTGCAGGATTCCTTTTAAGCCAGAACAGCAAGAATGCTCAAGAACACTACACAAGTATTCAGGACATGCAGTGGAGAATATTGTTCACAAGTGAGAAACCAGAAAAAACCAAGCCAAGGCTAACTCTTCTTTTTTAAATAACACAGATGTTTTGACCTTGTTACTGCATTATATCAGACAATGGCTTTAAGTGTAGTAATCTGCAATGTTACAATTACAAAATGCATAAGAAGGGATTTTTTCCTCTGTTTACAGGATTACACAGCTGGTTTCGTAAATACACGTGGGATTTCTTTCACTTTAAAGAGCTGTGGGAGATACAATACTAGACTGTCAAATGTCAGACTAAATAGATGCAAAGTTAAATTAAAAAAACTGATGAAAATTGTTTCTATTCAGAAAGGTCCTTGTGGAAATACTAAAATGTTGATTTATATGCAAAATTTGTTTGGAGGAAATAATTTCCATTGTTGTGGTTAATCAGACACATTCCTATTAATGTATGTGTATATATTGAGTGTCTGTACAGGAACATATGTTATATTGGACTGTCCTGAAGAGATTGTTGGTCTGATAGCTAGAGCAAAGAATTAAGAGCTGGGGTGTTCATTTAGCCGCTGGGACGTCTGACTTGCTCTGAAACCGGATGGGTATCATCCTCCTGCTCTAGCCTCGACCAGAGCAAGGTTAGCACCAACACCATAGGAATGTATGTGTAAAGGAATGCTTCATAATTGCTGTGAAGCATGAGGACATCTTTGGAGGGTGTGAGCTATGTATGTGCAGAGTGGCTCTTGTTCTAAAACTACCATAAAGCTTTTTACTTCCTTTCAGGTTCTGATTTTATAAAGACATCTACAGGAAAGGAGGTGGAAAACGCGACCTTTCCAGTTGGAGTAGTCATGATGCGAGCCATTAGAGAATTCTACTGGCAAACTGGCAACAAGGTAATTCTCACTACCTTTATAAAAATTAACCAAACAGGCTCACTCAGAAGGAAATAAGGCTGTAGCAGTTTCAAAATGCAGAACATATAAATCCAAACTTCCATGGCTATATGAGCAATAGGTAATGTGACTTCTCTCTTGTGTTCCTAATTTGATTTGCTAATATTTGTATACTTTAAAAAAACCCAAAAGGTGGCACTTTTGGCTTTCCTCCCTTGAATAACTGTCACTGCGTTCCCTAAAAGCTCATGCAATCTTGATGCATCTACTGCTGCATTTGGGTTTGAGTTTTGTTTCACCATTTAAGGTATTTAAATGGTCATCTCCATTAATAACAAGGCAAATCTCAAGCTGACAGTGACTGGCATACTCCCATAAACCTCAGTGGAGCTTTACAAATTTATAGCCATCGAGAGTCTGTCCAGTGTACACAACTGTATTTTCTGATTTTGTTCTGACAACCCAAGGGATAAATTCTGCTCTTTGCTCCCTTGCCAGAGGAGCTTTCCAAGGGGACAAGAACGCAGATCCAGTTGGATCCTGTTGTCTGGGATGGAGGGAGGGAGGGACGGGGCTGGCAGAACATTACGTCCTGGTACACAACATTTATCCGCCAGGTCACTGTCAAGTGAGGTCAGTGGAGGCAAGGAGCAAGGGGGAGCATATGGCAGAGCCAGTGATGAACTATCCGTGCACATCCATCCTTGCGCTGAAGCAGTGAGAAAGGAGGAGGTTATCCAGGAAGGCTTAAGCCACCTCTCACCTCCTTTATCCACAGCCAGGTGGGGGCTGCCACTTAGATCTGGTGCTGGTGTTCAGCAGTGGGCTTTGTCCTCACCTGCAGCCTCAGGGAAGGAAACAATATCTCTAGCTAAGACCCTCTCCCCATTTCTGGGTCACCCTTCCATCCTTTCCAGCTCACCCTTCTGTACCTTCTGCAGGTGGCCTTTCAAGGTATGATGTTAGGACATGGGATGAGCAGTGGGATAGGGGCTGAGGTGGCTTCAGGAGCTTGAGGAGCACATGCCAGCAGGTTACACGTGTGTCCATCTGCTCTCTGTAGTTGTCTAGATGAGGCCAGCGTGGATCTCTGGGCTGTCCACACTTCTCCCTTCCCCAGCCTGTATCTCTCTCTGCCACACAACAACTCGAGCAGCTCTGATAGTCTTGCTTCTGCTGGAGCATCGGAGCATCGTCACTGCTGCCAACCTGAGGCAGATCCCTGGGGCTGGGTGACTCACCTCAGCACCGGTGCTCTTTACATGAGCTGTGTGCCAGAGGTTGGGCTCTGCTGCATTAACACAGCTTTGTACCTATAATTGGATATAAATGTTGAATTCACCTTCTGCTTTGAAAGAATGCATTCGTGGTATAAAATGTGTTATTAAGCATGAGTGCTTATGTCTGTGTGCATGCATGTGTCAGTGAATTAGATGTAAACTGACTTTATGTGCTTTTATTAACTGAAGACAATATTATCAGTGACAAGAGATTTCTAAATGGTTTCTTTAACAAACTAATTTTGCTGCTGTAGGGATGCTTTCTAGCAAGGCGTTGGTTGGGAAAAACAGGTTAATACAGAAATTAAACTTCTTCGAGGAAAGGAACAAGTTGCAGAGTAACATTTATTGAATGATAAGCTGTGGTGCTGATATGAAAAGTGTGCAATATAATGGGAAATAATCTTTTCCTGTCATTATTGAAGGACATACATAAATTGGTTTTTCTGTTGGGAAAACCCCCAATCCAGAAAAACTTATTACTTTTAATAATATAAGGTGAAGAGAAAATTCTTGAGGAGATGAACTTATTAAGCAAAATAATGAAATGCTGTGAAACAGCAGGAAAGTGGTAACTGGACTTTGTACTGCTCTTGAATTAAATTCCAACCCCCCTTCCTTTTTGGGTTTTTATGGCAGTCAGATGTGCCGTTTGGAAAGCTGGTAAATGGAGGAGAGGACAGGCTTGTCTTTGTCAGCTTTTTTGTGAAGAAAAGAGCTTTCAGAATTTGCTAAAAGAGGAAGGAATTCTGCATGGTGTTTTCAATTCTCGTATTAACTCTATTTTACTTGGTTTTGCCACAGATTATCTCAAAGAGCTGTAATATTTCTAGGAAGAAGTGTAAATTTGAATTTCATTAGAATTTCTCTTCCTGAGGGAAAACACATTCTCAGTATTTTAATTTATTGTCTAGAAGATGCTTTTCCAGTTGCTGTGGTTTAAATTCCTTTTGAAAATCTAATGTTAACAGATGTATGTATATACTCACGCATCCATCCATTCATCCACAAAAACACAGTCTTCATGTTTTGGATTTATCAAGCTTTTCCTGTTATTGTTCTTTATAATCTTATTGGAAATAAGATTGGCTGTTATCACAATGCTTCAATGTGAGAGAAGGATTTATTCTGTGTTTGTTTGTCCTGAAATCACTATAAAAAAAAATTACCAAACACATTTGAAAACAGATATTTTTGATTCCACTATTATATCCATAAGGTACAAAGAAATCCTCAATGCAGTGAGGTTTCAGGAATGTATATACAGAAATCAGAATGATAATTCTTGCAGAAGGGGGCTGACGGGAAGGAGTACCCAAGGTAAAGGTTTATGGCAGAAGGAAATGTAGAAAGAATCACTGTATGCTACTGTACAGATTGTTCAGATTTAATTTTTTTTTTGATGCAGAAACACTTTTTCCTAATTCTCTTTGTTTTTCAGGAGTTCAGTAAGCTGCTGCAGGCGAACATTTTGGCTAATGCAGGGGACAAAATTTTTGATAAGGGATTTGATAGCTGCGTGTCACAAGCTCTGTCTCAGAATGAGATGCATTTAAATGGCACATAACCAAAAGACTGGTGTTAGGGATGCATGCCAAGTCACCTCAGTGCTGTCTCTGCACAGCAGGTTTATCATGGGATTCAAGACATGCTTCACCTCAAAGATAGGTTTTTCTTGGTGTGTGTGCCTCTACATACATGGCAGTTCACCTGACCAAATATGACATGTATCTCACATCAAGCGACTGAAAGCATATCCAGTATGTGTTGGGAGACAAGTTTTGCAGTTCCTGTGAAGCACAAAACTTTCAATTTTTGGAAAAGACAGACCTAATTTAATTCTCATTTGGAAAATTTTAGTGAAAATTAAACCTCTGATAGGTTTGAATGTACAGCCCAATCATGTATAACTGTGGTGCACAGGCTTTTTATAAAGTACAACCATCTCTCACTGCTCTCCACATTCAGCTGCCTCACATGCTTTATTTCAGCATCTTTAGTGTTATGTTATTGCATGTATATTTGTTGTTACATATTTGGAATTAGATTGCAACATGAACAGACGCAGATATCCCAGGTCCTGCCTAAATGCCTTGGCTTAATATGTGCTATGGGCTCCCATTAGACCTCAAACTCAGCTTCTGAGAAAGTGCGCTGGGGTCAAAAGTATTACTCCCTCAGTTGCTGTCCCTTGGGATGAAAATGTTATCCTTCTCGGTGATGGCTGAGGCTTGATAGCTCTCGGCACTAGTCCAGAGCTTATACTATTTGCAGTCAGATACTTACCAAGTAGAGTTGTTACATACACCACAGGCACTTTGAAGCTGCAGGTGTACAAATGCTGATTGCTCTTCTAGGATTGCTGATGAATGAAAATTTGTATTGCACTTCTTTTTTCTATATAAAGGTTGGATTTAAACCTGCTGGGGGCATTCGGACAGCAAAAGAAGCTATTACTTGGCTTATGCTGGTAAAGGAGGAACTGGGAGTGGAATGGCTAACACCAGAGCTCTTTCGCCTGGGTGCCAGTACTTTGCTGGAAGACATTGAGAAACAGGTTAGTTGTTAATGGTTTTCAGCTTGATGGAGAGAAAAAGTAATCTTTCTAAATGTTTTTGCAGAATCTGCTTTTTGATGCTGTTTAAAAGCTGTTTAAAAAAAATCTAATTCATTATTAACGACAGGTTCGCTCCCAGCCCAGTATTTCTTTAAATTTGGCCTGTCATTACACACATCTGAGACATTGATATTCCAGCAGTCTGGGCCAGGTTTGCAATGCAGTGAGCAAAGAGGCTCAGTTTGTACATACACGGAGTCTTTTGCAAATGCATGGTAGTGCACTCCCCTGCACTCCTAGCTGTCGCCCCGTTCAGCTGACCCTCAAAATATCTCACAGACCCTTTGTGTCACTGTGCCGCAACTGTTCGCAATATATTTCTGTGCTGTGGAGAAAGTCACCTCTCATCCTACATATGGTACTGCTGATAGAGAAGTTTTTACATATTGATTATTTCCTGGGGAGGAAAAGCAATCGCCTCCTACAAAGCCTCGTTCTTCTAATTGCTTTTATTTTTGTGCAGGCTGGTCGCTGTGTTTCCTGGCAGACAAATAGTGTGTGAGGTGCAGTGGCAGTGTGTAGTTCCCTGTGGGAAGAAGGGTTCTGACCTATCTACCCATGACCTACCTCACTGGTGTAGGGTATCAACCCCAAAGGATACAGCATAGCTGAGAACAGTGTAGTGTCATAGGAACTACTAAACGCTGAACCTCACTCCCATGTTCATTAAACCCAGGAGATGAGGTGATATTGGCTTTAACCAAGAAAAAAGTTTGAGAGTCCTTGTGCTGTTGCTGCTGGTGGGAGAATATGAGACGTAGGGGATTTGGGGGTGGAAAAAAGGGTCAGTGTGCTCCCTTTCCCCACCTTTCCTAGCAACTGAAATACTGACATGTCTTAAGAAATACAGAACAGCTGAGAGATGTCAGGTGAATGTTCATGACTGTTGAAAACCCCTGGCTCACTCCTGCAATGAGAATAATATTGGCTTGCTTCATTGCCAGACTGCCTCTGCCTCACTCTTGACTTAAAATCACGTCCCTGGTTATGACAAAGCAGCATGAGCTTTCTTGTTGCCACTGCCATCGCAGCTGATTCTTACAACACAGCCAGTGATTGTCTTGCACGATTTGTTCTGATTTCTTAAAGGTGGCAATCTTAAGGGATTGCACAGATGCCCCAGTCATGACCAAAGCTCTGCTATACTGTGCCATCTAAAAACATGTAAGATAAAATGTCTTAATCGTTATATTCAATAAAAGAAACAGGTATTTAAAAAAAAAACAAACGAACAAGCATAGAAAATAGGGAGAACACTCCCCCACCCCCGAGACAGTACAGTTAAAAGAATAGTTTGAAATGAGCCATATAAAAGCATAAGCAATTTTGGATACTTTGAATATCACAAAATAATTCTGAAATTGTCAAGATCAGATTACAGTGAGAGTAAAGCATTGTCTTCTAGCTGGCTCTTTTTGAAAGCTTAGTTAAAAGCAACAAGTATCTTTGCTTTTTTCCAAATAAAGCAGCAAGAGCCCTTAGTTCAGATCCTATAAACAAGTATATAAAGGTATATTACATCATATTTTATGCACAGATACACACACACACACAAAAATATCCATCATCTTCATCTGGCATGCCTTTAATTTGTTACTTTCTTGACACTTTCAGATTTATAGTCATATATAATTCTATCATAAATTTTTTTTTTTCTTGCAGATTTTCTATCATGTGACTGGCTCTTATGCACTTCAGCATGATCTGGCAATGGCTTAGACACAAAATCAACTCAGGATTACTTTTACAAAAGAGGTCTTTAAGCAAACAGCATTCAGAAGTCTTCTGACAACCAAGTGCATACGATAGAATTAAAGGCCTAATTCTCCCTTCTTCATATTTTATAGTATTTAAAAATATGCTCAAGTCTGCTGGTTGTACTTGATCCAAAAGCAGAAAAAATGGTAATTCTGAAATAGTTAAATAGTTAATACTTACAGATTTGCAAAGTTAATCTTGCAAAGTCTTCCTCAGACCAGCCTGAAAAGCTTATTAATGGCAACACTGAAATACTATGAAAAAGATTTAGGTGGCCTGGTAACACTTTGCAGTCACAGAATATGAAATATCTATGGAATGTTTCAGATTGCTAATTAAGACCTACAGATCTTGGAATAGCTTTCCATTCATCTCAGACAAAATCTTCTGCCACAGATATGTTGCACTATTAATTGTTATGTTGATTCAGTTTCAAGCATTGTAACCTGAGAAAATGAAACTTGCCTATTACTTTCTTTTATAAAATGCCTCTGTAGCAAAAAAACCTTTTTTTTTTTTTTTATTTTTCCCCCAAACTTGGGCACAGACATCCATATTTAGACCCTTGAATAAAGGTGGCTTGATTTCTAGAACAGCTGAGTATCCACAGTTGCTCCTGAAGTTAATGGGAGCTCTGGGTGATCAGAACAACTGAAAATCAAGCAGCCTCTATATAGGTGCCTAACTATGCATTCAGGGGCCTATTTTTAGGCATTTCACTCTTAAAATTTTAGTCTAACTTGCTTAGAAGCTCCCATTCCTGTCTCCTGTCATTTTAAAACACATTCATGCAAATCTTTGCATTTTAACATAGGGGGGTTTGACTGTCAGTTTGCAGGTGTCGCTGCTATGCTGCTTGAACTTCAGCTTTTCCCATTCTAAAAGCAATTCTTTAATTTAAAAGGTGATTTGAATTATGTCCTATACGAGGTTTACAGCTTTAATGTAAAAAGTACTTTTCTCAGAGCACATTGAATAATACCAAAATCGTCAACACCTTTGGAATATCAGACTGGAGCTAGTAGATCATTATTTCAGAACTGCATTCTGCTCACTAACCAGGTTGTACTAAAAACTTAATTATCTTATCATCATGACTAGTCTCACTGACTTAAGTAGGTCTCATCAAGGAAGTAAGAGGGGGAGGATTTTGCTGAAAATCAAGCTACAAGGTACATTTATTACAAAGAGATCTGTGTTTCATAAAGATAATAACTCAGTTATTTATCTGGTTATACCACCTGAATCACTAGTGCTCTACGAAACACCTTGGACAGATAGGAAAGCTGAATAGGGAAAAAAAAATCAGAGAAACAACATATACAGAAAGCAAAATCTTATATGCAGTGCTCAGAACTAAAAATAGGCCTTAATTTCCCAGGAAGTAGTTCATCCAAGGCTCTCAGCCTTTTTCTGGTTTAGGTCTCAACACAGAAAATGAGGCTGAGCTGTGACTATATTTTCACACATTTGTTTTCCTGGAAAGTGGCCTTTTTCGCCATGGGTTTTCCTTCTGATTTCACTGCCAGTTTCTTGAAGGAAAAATCCACTGCCTGTTTGCATATTTAGAGGAAAATTCTGCTGCTGAGCTTTCAGAAATACAGAGCCCGTTATATGAACTCAGCTCCCACCAGGTGCTTGCCAGATTGACTCTCTGCCATGTCCTCCCAGCAACCGCACACTGGATTTTGCTGCTGCTCAGCTCTAGCTGTATAAATGTTAGAGTGTATTTCAATACTTCCATAACAGAAAAGATTCACCTCACTTGCAAAGTACACTTTTTTGTTGTTGGTTGTCTTTTGGACATTTAGGGCAAAGATAAAAGCTATTTTTTGGAGATGCTTTAGTTTCTAGGTGAAGGACTCTGTGTAGTTCCTTAAAATTAATGAAGGTCCAACTTTGCCACCTAACTATTTAATGTGAGTACCTCTGAGAACAACCTCACTGTTTCCATGTGAGCTACGTGTCGATTAATGAAATTGCCAGGATATATAGTTTATATATCTGTTGACGGCCCCCGCTTCATTTTGATGTGCACATGGGCTGCTGCTGGTTATGTTGCTTCAGAGGGAACAGGCCCCATTTGCGGAGGGAGAGGTTTGGCTTCCTGAAAAATGGAAGGTAGCCGCTTCCCTTTTCCATGAACATTACAAACACACCGACATGAAATACTGTGCAACTCCAAGCCAACCAGTGTTTTGGGAGAAGCTGGATTGGAAAGTAATTTAAACATTTTTTCTGTTGACACGTGTAATTTTTGGGGAAAAAAAGAAAAAATGTAAAAGTAACAGAATCTGTAAACACATTCAAATAAAGATGATTCTGGTTTGGGGTGGGTTTTTTCCGAGGAATAATCGGAAGGCTCAGTGTTACAGAGTGACTGGTTGTCTTTGCTAACTTCTCTGTGACTCAGGTGAGTTGTATTCATATTGTCTGTGGTTGTGGACCCCTCTCGTCTCTCACTCCTCCTATAGAAGCTGCTCTACCAGCAGGTATTGGTCTGTTGACAGCCGTAGGCGATGTGTGGGGAAGAACCGGGGCCAGGGGTTGCATCAGGAGCAGCAGGGGACCGGGCTGGAGACTTATGACAAGGCATGTCCAAGGGGCCCATCAAGGAGACAGCTACCAACAGCGCAGGTCCGAGGTCCATCCCGGAGGCGGAGGCAGGGCTGGAGACCAGCACTCCTGCAGCGTAGCTCAGGGAGGTGCTGAGGGCCATGGTCTGAGCTGATGTGGGGCTCCTGGGCCCCTGCTGCGGGTGGGGGGAGGCTGGGCAGGGCCAGAAGCACCACTGAGCTTATTGCAATGCTGAGCCCATGAGAGAGCCAAACACGGGGACTAACGTGTGTTTTGAGCTCAGGTCGGAGGCTGGCGTGGCAGGACCTACACCCCCACCCATGGGGAACTGGCAGCACTCACAGTGTGGTCTCCCAGGCTTGCTGCCCTTCGCCCTGACCAGCATTTCCACTGCCCTCTCTTCCATCTTTCCCATCGCTGATGGCTGTTTGCTGCTATTTAGTTCCCGTGGTCAGGGGGCAGCTGAGATTTATTGAGACTGCTGCAGCGGGTTGTTGCTCCTGCAGACAGCACGTGAAAGGTGATGGGGACCTGAACTCACTCAGGAACCGGGGAGGGGGCGGCGCTCCGTTGCTGCATAGACTTTGGGGAAAGTTCAGATTTAGCGCTGTGCTTCAGGCCATTAGAAAAGGAACAGGCAATTATGCACTCCCGTCTAAATATATTTCAGAATATGACATATGTTTTGTGCAAGGCAGCCTTGTATACTAATTTATTATTTTTATAACACTTATTCATTTAGGATTTTAAATAGCTTCATTTTGTAGACCACATTATTTTGCAAAGAAGAGAATAAATTCAAGAAGAAAGTCAAGTAGAAACTGCAAATCTAGAAGTTTCTGCATCAGCTTATTTACAAGAAGAGGGAATTGGGAGAGAGGGTAAGCTTTTTTTCTGGTTTGTAGGAAACAAAGATATTAAATAGTAATTATATGCGAAGTGTACATATCAGCTGGGGCAAGTAATACTTTGATATCTTTATTTCATCAATCATATAAGTTCATTCTTTCATTTCCTTTGTGAAGCAGGGAACATACATTATATACCATAGCACATGCTACTGAGACAGAAAAAACTGATCTACTTTTAATTTTATTTTTCTCAGTTGGAACTTTGGCTCCCTGCCTCCCCTGGGGGAGGAAAACACAAAACAATAACAGCAAGTTTTATCCAAATCTTGGTGAGCTTTTGTGGAAATTACTAGTGCTGACATCTGGATGATATGTATAGTGTGCAGTAGGAGTAGAAGGAGGGAACTGCTTTTAATTAGATGTAACCTGCCCAGGAGAGAAAGACAGAAAATTGTCCATCTGGTCAGTCCTTATTTAATAGGGCAACCAACAGTAAGAATATTCTTAATATGCAAAGACACCATAGGTAAAATTACTGATTGACCAATTTTATTAAAATCCCAGAAAGCCAGAACTGTGCTAAATTAAGAGGTAGTAAGACTTAGAAAGAAAGAAGCATCAAGAAAGGTTGCAGTCCTTGCACTCCCTAAAAGCAAGAATAAGCAAGTGATGGTGACTATCAGGTCCCAACTAGCTATAGAGACCTTTCCTCTGTTCTAGACAATTTACAGATCCTTCCCCTTCTGTGAGGACCTACAGTAACCACTTACCAAGAGAAAGTGTGACAAAGTTGTTTTAATATCCTTTAATTAAATTTAACATTGATGCAATGAAGGAATGCCAACAAGACGCTCTAGCCATTCCTAATGAGTCTAGTGATTTTAAGTGGCTCTGTTTTGAGCACTGGGGACATCTTGTGGATTGCTAATTCTTGGAAATTGCAGAAAATGTGGTCTTCTGGAAGCAAAGCTTTCTTGAGGCATAACAGTTTCAGATCTCCGAGATCACAGGGAGTGTTTGAAAACACTGAATTGTAAAGCATCAATTTAGAATTGCTTCCTTAGATGAGATGAAAACAAAGGATTTTTTAAAGAATGTTAACAAACTGAGGAAGCCATACTGGAATTGACTACACTTGTTTTTTCAAGTCTTGCTTTCTCTACGTACGGGAGGAGTAGAGGAAGGAGCTTTGCAGGCTCAGCTGGTGGAGATTAGCATCATCTCTATACCATACAGTGTTGTATAAAACAAAACACCAAAATGGATGATGGCTTGCCCAGGAAAGCAAGGGAAAGTTTTATAAGATGATTTTTCCATTTCAATAATAGTACGAGCTCTGTTTTTATTCAAAGACTTACATAAGTTCTCACCTATTTACTAGTTGTAACAAAAAAGCAAACAAGCAAACCAGCCAGCCCGTTCACTTCCTACATCTGGGCCGAGGCCAGTGACAAGGCTGGTTTGGTAATCCCGCGGGTTTGGGGTCCCCGCCACTGTCACAACCTGGAGAGCAAGTGGGCTGATGGAGGAGCCTGCCAAGGCTTACCATCGTGCCTGCCGGCTGCACGAACCAGCCTGTGCTCTTACTGTCTGAGAGGTTGCCCTGGGGGTGGATGGTGCTAAAACTGTCTGTAGTGATTACTGGTCCATCGAGACCTTCTTTTTTTTCCACCCTA